TGGAAATCTGATGCTGGTGCCAGAACCTGAATCTCTCTCTTGGGGACCCATACACACAGACATATATATAATTTTTTAAAATTCCTCTGATCTATGGCTTGGCCAGCCTCGCCTTGTTTGAGCAGAAGGAGCTGAGAGTAAAGTGGATGAGGTCATAAGAACAGCAGCTGTGTAGAGTGGTTGCTTCCCACCAAGTGCTTTGCATTCACTCAGTTATTCCTCACAACAGCTGTGCCTGGGACCCCTTTCCTCCCACCTCCCTCTTGGCATAACCTCTGCTCATTTCGATTTGAGCTCAAATGCCTCCTTCCCTAAAGGATCATCTCTGCTTTCCCTCTGCCACCACCCTTCAGTTACTCTCTACAATAACACTTTTATTTCCTCCATTGTACTTGCCTCATTTATTCCTTCAGAACAAATTCACAGGAATTATCTCAGGTATTTATTTGCTTGGTTATTGTCTGTCCCTGCCTGTCTTGTTCACTGCTGCATCTTCAGCATCTAATTCAGTGTCTGCATACATAGCATGCATTGAGTTAAATATGCATTGAATTAAAAGTACCAGGTCTTATATCTCCATTTTACAGATTAGGACATTGACTTTCACAAGGTCATGCTTTTCATATACGAATACATTCCAGGTCTGGAAGATCCTAAAATCCATTCTTTTAACTTCAGTACATTTAGCTGAGTAGACAGTGTGCCTTTTTCTTACTTATAATTCTGAAGAAAAGGAATTTGAAATGAGATGATTTAAAGGTTTTCTAACACATAAGAGGATTTTGTTCAATAAATGCCCATAGGTTTTCCTCCATTTGTAGCACCTGCCTTCCCCAGTATCTCCTGTGTTTGCTGCTCATCTCAACCAGCTCCTGACCCTAATTATTTTCTTTAAAAGTGAATGAAGAGCACTATCAGAAACTCGGGCTTTTCTGACCTGTGTTTAACCCCAAGAGACCGTTTGGTGAGTATTGTTTCTAGGACCTAACTACCTTCTTCATTCCTTTACCACCTATTTCTGCAGAATCATTTCTCATTTCCTATCTACTTATTCCACAATGAAGCCAGCAATAAATATCCCCTGCTTACAAGATAAATGTACTGTGTAGGATTTGGATGCTTGAAATATATACCCAGAGTCAGTTACAGCCCCATCCTCAAGGAGTGTCTAGTCAACAGTAACCTGATCCTTCTAATATCTTAGGTTTGGGGGTTTGAAAGGGTTTTAGAAATCCAGGGGCTCAGTAGGTAATATTAATGAGAGAGGTGAGGTAGGTGGTACAATAGAGAGTGGTGGAGACTGTGGCAAATAGAAAAGCCCTTTCAAAGATGCCAAGTAGGTGTTGCAATTTGGAAATGCTGACTCAGTGTTGCTAAATCTTCTGATTTTCAAGAAAGATGAGAAATCTAAATTATTTTTATGAGCAATGTTAATTTTAAAATGTTGGTCACAAATTAATTTCTTAAAACACAGGGCAGTCTAGATATGACCTATAGGCCTCCAGTTTGCAACCTCTTATCTAGTTCAATAACTACTCTCTTTTTGTAACCAGAAGACAGACTCAGAGAAGTATAATTTAAAAGAAAAATAACATATATATATATATATATATATATATATATATATGCATTTGATCTTTGTCCAAAGATCCTAGCACAGAGCTCTTAAAACCCTTGGAATTATTTGTGTGATAAGAGCATCTTTTTTAAATCATAATGAGACCCCATCAACTACAATGGAGTTTAGGTAATGAAGTGACTGACTCTTTGTGGGGAGGGTGGCTAGATACCTTCAGAAACATAGATAGCTTCAGATATCTAGATAGCTGGTCACCAGAGGACACAACCATGTGATTAGAGGGCTGTAACTCTCAGCCCTCTATCCCTACCCATGTCCCCTTCACTCCATCTTCTCCATCTCCCGACCTCCTGGGAGGGAAGAGGAACTGGAGGTTGAATTCAGTCTCCATAAAGACTCCAAAACCATGAGGTGCTGTCAGGGTGGCATACCCAGTGAGGGCATGGGAACTGCACCAACCCCCACCCCTCCCATACCCTGCCTTATGTGTGTCTCCTATTTGGCTGTTCCTGAGTTGTATCCTTTGCAATCTGTAATAGTAAGTAGAGTATGTTCCTGAGTTCTGTGAGTTGTTCTACAGAATTATTAAACCTGAGGAGGCGGTCGTTGGGAACCCAAATTTGTAGTCAGCTGGGCTCAGTGAGGGGAGCCTGGAAACTTGATCTGCTGCTGGTGTCGGAAGAGGGGCAATCCTGTGGGACTGTGCCTTTAGCCTGTGGGGTTCTTGCTAACTCTGGGAATGAGTGTCAGAAATGAATAAAAGTTGGACACCCAGTTGATGCTGGAGAATTGGTGTGGAACCATAAGTATTTGGTGTTAGGAAAACAAACACAGTATCAGAAGTGTGGTCAGAAAAGACATCACAGAAGGGAATAGACCTGCCCATGATTACACAGCAAGTTAGTTACAGAGCCAAATCTCAGAGATGGTCTGACTCCAAACCTAGTGCTCTTTCCATCACATATGACAGGCTGACTTATCCCTGGGCGCTGGGGATTTCACAGTTTCCGGGAGTGAACGGA